CTGCTTCTGAAGGGATTTTCCTTCTACATCCTTAAAAATTGCAATATTAGAGTAAGTATGGCTGAAAAAATATAGTGTAAAAGAGAACTGGGAAATCTAGAGGTTAATTTGAGATCCCAATAACAGCTTACATTTGAATATGTTTCTCTTGATCTCATCAATTATAAATGATTCCTATATTCTTGGATGACCAATTTGTCTGAAACATTGTTTTATAATACATATGTGTATATATATATATATATATCTCTACACTTCATTCTTTGGAATAAATATAATTTAATATATCACCTGTTCAGTAAATGTACAGTTGAGATTGCACATTTTTCACTTTCTCAGTCTGTAGAGATAATTATTCTTTCTTCCATCCTCTCCTTTAACACTTCTTTTAAATCTTTTTTATATTTCATATATTTTATTCTCTACTTTGTATCTCAGTTATTTGTATAAGGTGTTTTTGTATTTCCCTTTAAGTTTATACTCCTACAAATTTTCAAACAGTTCTTGTCCACCCTTTATGTACCTAGTAGAGTTATCTTGTACATAATAGACATTCAATAAATATTTTATGAATAAGGAATCATTGATTTAATGAGGAGAGCTCAGGGATCCAATTGGAAGAGTAGAAAAACTAAAGGAGTGTGTGTGTGTGTGTGTGTGTGTGTGTGTGTGTGTTCTCATAACAGAAGAGTCAACTGAAGCGGCTCAAATGATGAAATAATGTACTGACTCGTGTAACTAGAGTCTACATGCAGAACAGCCTTGGAACATGAGCCGACGGAGAAGTTTGCAGTGCCATCGGGCTGTTTCTCCATTTCCCAATGATTTCATAGGCTCTGTTTCATCCTCAGGCTGGGTTTTGTAGCAAGGGGGCTGCCTGAGCTTACAAGGTTCCATGTTTCCTTTCTACATCCGAGTTGGAGAGAGTATGTCTCCTGTACAAGTATCTATCAAAATGTACCCTGTGGTAACAGAATTCTTATTGGACAAACTGACGTCCACATTTCTTTATGAACCATCAGCCTCTGTTGATTAGAAATGCCATATGTTGATAGATAAGATCTTGAGACAAAACACTATGCCTAGGAGAACCAGACAGCCCTCGAGGTCAGGTTGGAGTTCAATCCCAGTCAAATTATAGCCATGCTTACAATCTGGTGGAGGGAAGGGAAGGAGCAGCCATGGTTAAATAAATTGGAGGGAGTCATTCACAATATGCACTATAATTAGGTAGTAGCTGAACTTCCATAGGTAGAAAAAAGGCTTATTTTATACTCACTAGGTACATGAAATAAAGGACAAAACACACAGCCCCATATTAGCTCAAAATAAATGTTTTTCTTTATATGCATTTTGCTTATGGGAGCTGTCTGGAAAAAAAGTGATTTTCTTATTTCTGTCAAGTTTAACAGTTAATTTTATTGGTTAAACTGATTCTAATAACTCACTATGGAAATATAAGAACTCCAAAATAATTCCATCACATCTAACATTTTCTTTCTTCTGGACATTAAAACAAACAAACACAAAAAACAACAAGCATTCTAATTTAGGTTGAGGTCCCTTAGTGTTAGCACAGGTATTATACAATGCTTATGGCCTTCATGTCAACTTTTGGATTATACTAAAGGGTAAAACTCAATTGTATTCAACCTTGTTTAGTCATAAAATAGCTAAGAGATTACCTATAAAGGGCTATTCTAGTCCTTAATTAATTGTCACGCAAATGAGGTGAGTCTCATTGTCCCATTCTTTTAGGTAAGTTGTTCTTGGCATCAGACAGTTATGCAGCGCTCCCCACGCCCACCCCATTCTAACAACCATCCAGCTCCTCATAGCTCTGCCTAGGAAGCCCCACCACGGCTGGTCTTCTCTGGTTGGCATCCCCCTGGCCGAAGCCCACCGAAATCTTCCCAGTATCTCATCCATCTCCCTGTTTCAGTGGAATCGAGGGACCCAACTGCCACAATTACTTTGAACACTGAATTATCCATAGAAGAGGTTGAGTATGACAAAGTTAAAATGTACGTTCAATATTCTTCCTGGCTTCTTTTTGCAACCCAGCAAACGTTTCTCCTTAGTGGAGAGGGGTGAAGAGAAGAAAAAAAGCAACAACAAAAAGATTAAACGAAGAAATGTATATATGATGTGTTAATTTCTGAAAAGTGAATGTCTGTAGGGGTTGTTTGTATAGGCGCTGACCTTAAGGGAGTCCATGGGGCATTGCTGAAAGTAAAAGCCAGTTTGTTACAGGGAGATGCAGGTGCTTCCGTTACAGTAAACACACACACAACCCACACACAGAGGCACACATGCACGTGTGTGAGTGAGTGTGTGTGTTATATGAGAGGGTAAAAGGAGTGGAAAGAGATATTCTTGGCTGTTTATATTAGTTACATCAGGAAGGTGGAATTGTATATGGAGATGAAGGGTTGTGTTTTAACATACACTAGTGCATAATTTCACTTATTACTTTAAGCATGTATTATTTTTAACCTGATAAACATCAAATAGGAAGGATGTGATGGTTTGGGAATCATGTTAGAGTGGAGATTACAATTTTTACTTCAAGGAACAATTTGTTGTTATTGACTAGAATTTTTTTTAAATATGTCTTTACTGATTTCAAAGAGAGGAAGGGGGAGAGAGAGATAAAAACATCAATGATGAGTGAGCCGTTGATCAGCTGCCTCCTGCATGCCCCCCACTAGGGTTAGAGCCCCAAACCCGGGCATGTGCCCTGATTGGGAATTGAACCCTGATCTACTGGATCCTAGGTCGATGTTCAACCAATGAGCCATGCCAGCCAGGCTAGAATTTTTTGAATCATAGATAATACTATACAATTTTTAAATTTCAGTCATTTCTATTCATATGTCAAAATTAATTATTATCTCTTAACATTCACAGGTAAGCCCTCTTGAAAACATATATAAAAAATACTTGGTTTAAATATGGCAGACTCATGCACAAAATATACTTAAGTGGAAGCTTTTAGGGGTAGGATGCACAAAATATACTTAAGTGGAAGCTTTTAGGGGTAGTTTCCTCTAAAATAATCAACTCCTTTAAAGGATTTTGTATTATAAATATCTAAGTCAAAATTTCATTCATACTTCTTAAATTCAAAATTTCCTTGGCCAAAAGTGACAAAAATTCAGCACATTTTGTAACTAATTTTGGCCCTTAAAGAGCCAAAGTCCTTTCTATTACTTTTCCTTAATTTCCTTTCTAATTTAAGGAATTCCTTAAATTCCTTTCTATTACTTTTTTCATGTTAGTTGATATATAAGTACATATACATATATAAATATATAGACAAATGAAGATCGAAGATAGCACTCATACTGTTTCTCCACCTGGTTTGGATTTTTGCCATTAATTTTTTAACTGGTATTTTAAGATGTTTTCAACTGACATTTACCTTAATAGGCACATTCAGATAGCTACAATATACCTAAAGTGGAGATTAGTACAATCCTGAGGCCAGTGAAGTGGCATTTTTCAAAGTCTGAAGGTGCCCAATTAACCCAAAAGGAAAAACTGTCCCCTGTCTCTAGGCCACACCAGTTAGTGCACCTGTGAAAGACTGATGTATAAAGTCACACTATCCATTGAGGACTGACAAGAACTATAGCCTAAGGGTTGTGAGAATAAAAAACAGTATTAATGTATGCATGTTAAATAATACTACATGTTTTACAAGGACACTAATATGAAAGAACACACTTTAAGCACTTTAAAATGAATGACAATTAAGGAAGAAAGAAATTGAAATACAGAATGAGAATAAAAGAGATAAATAAATTAAACAAATAAATGAAAGAAAAATAGATAAATGAGAAACTCGAAAAAACTTCAGTCTTCAACAATTCTAATTTATTGTAATTCTAATTTGAGAGACATCAAAGCAATCAAGTCGTCTTAAATTTCTACCTTTTAAAGAATATCTACTAAGGAAAGAAGGCATTCTTATGGACCTCCTTGAATCTCTAAGCTTTTTACATTTATAAAAGCTACCGCTTTGTGAAGAAATTGCCATTGATCATTCAAATTTTCAAATTCAAAAGAGATTGAGAGAAACTATAACAAATGCATGCTGAAGAAGCATTGTTCTGACACCCAGCTTCCAAGCAGGCAGATTCAAAAGCTAGTTTGTAGTCCTATTTTGTAGCAGGCACCGTGAACCTGGCAGGAAATTCAACTAAGCCCTTCTTCATTTGTATCCTGTTGTTTCTGGTAAACAAGAATGTGTGTGCAAGCTTTCCCACCCCTGTGCAAATGCTTGCTACCAGAAATGACCGGACACGCTCACCACTTAGAAATAAACCTTCTCTCTCTTTGAGGCACAAACTAGTCTCCGTTTCTGAACTATCTGAAGACCATGCTTATCAAAGAAGATGCTCCCCATGCTGCTTTTCATCATGTGTGTCCCTAAGGAAAGCAGAGGCAATGAAATTCTAGTAGCATCCTGAACACATCTCATGAGATTACTAACCTGACTCCAAATCCATGAACTCCAAGGATCATCTGCGCTTAATGAAAAACAAATATGTTCTGTAATTTATACTCATGTTATTCTATAATTTGAATCTTCTCTATCAGTATCTGAAATAGCTTAAACCCACTAACTCTGGAAAAATGTGCCAGCTTTTAGATTTGAGACAAATAATGAGGAATGAACTATGGACACTGGTGAAGAGCAAAGTTAATTTTTGAAAACAAAAAAGGAAGCCTGTGAAGACCAAGTTCCCGCCTTACAAAGTCAAGAAGAAGACAAATCATGAAAAGCATCATCTTACACAATAGTGTGAAAGTAATAAAATGGAATTTTGTTTTGGCTTTGATTTAGCATTTTTGGTTTCTTATCAAAGTTACCTGCACTCCAGGTACCTCCTTGTTTATTGACATTCAGCATTTTATTCCTTGACGATACGGGATAAAATATGTTTCTACTACTTTCTTTTTTTTTTAACTGTCATCTTTTATCTCATTTCCAGATGTGGACAAGGATGGTCAGGAAATCGATGCCACATCAAAGGCAACCATTCTACTGCAGATTTTACGTACTCTCAGAACAGTAGGTGACATTGTGATTAAACAAATCACTTGGTTTTTGAGAATCTAATACTTTTGACGGCATGTGTATCTTTCTCATTGGTTTGAAATTCTAGATATATGGACTCTCCTGGGTATTGGATTAGCTTTCCTGATGGCTCATATGACAGTCACAGTCTTGTGTTTCCTTGCGAACAGAAAAGTGCCAGCAAGGTAAGTGATGACTTTGACTGCTGAATAAAATATACTGTGGCAGAACAATTTCCTGAAACATTTCATTTGCTATATTTTCCTTTCACTCTATTTTACATACAAGTAGCTTTAATGCTTGCATACTTTATGGATTTCTTTCTCTTACTCTTTTTTTTTTTTAATTGACTTTTTAGATTATGTTAGAGGCATTTTTAATCACAACAAAAAGGAGAACATGACATTCTCCACAGATTAAAAAGATAGGAGGGGCTAGGTATCCCACTTTCTGGTAGTGCCCAGGGAAGGCAGCAGAACTGCAAAATAGATACTTTCTTGGCCTGCAGGTAGGCTGAACTCGAGGCACCAGCTTTCCAGGCCAAGACCCCCATGTCCTAAGCAATGCACAGAGCAGAGGCCAAGAGCTGCTGCACCTGGAGGAACTTTGCAGGCTGGGCTCGGGCATGTCTCAGGAGACCTGCGGTGCTGGTCAAAATACTAGGAGCTCCCTACCTAATACACATCTTCCCATCACCTGTATGGGATACAGTTCACCCCAATGAGGAAAGTGAATCACTTTTCCATGCACTGAACAAGATAAAGGCTTGGGATAAGATTTAATAAAAGCTTAAGATATTGAAGAAACACATCATGTCTTGCATGCCGAGTTTGTGGTTAGAGATTTAGATCGGCTGCAACACTGATGTGTCACAGAGCACAGGATAACTGTATTGTCCTTGGTGTCAATTGGTATGTGCCAAGTCTTGATGAATTCTCATATATCCAGCCTGGCATCTTGTTAAGTAGCAGACACCAAACTCAATATCATCAATTAAAGCAAAATTATTCTAGAATTATGGTGATCATTAGAAAAAAACACCTGACATTTTTAATCCATTACTATCAAGAAGATCTTGCTGATCTATTAATTATGTAGTTATTTATTATGTGCCTAAAATATGTCAATGTGGATACAAACATGAATGAGAAGCAGTGTGGACCTAAAGGAGTTTGTAATCTAATAGGAAAAACAGACCCAAAGCTATTAAGTGAAACACTGGTTCTGTGCTAGAATGTACACTTGTATTAGTTAGGGTTCTGCAAAGAAAGAGGCAGTGGCTACTCAGCTAGCTAGCTAGACATATTATTGTTTCTGTCTTCATATGTACATAAATATCTTTAAATATCTTATATAATACATAACACATTATCATTTATTATATAAATATTATATCAATATATTGTATTAAAATATATAATATAGTATATAGTAATATAATATATTAAAATATCTTAAGAGTAACATGTATTAATGTATTTATATGTAAATAATAAGCTATATTATCATTTAATATAGTATATAATATTAATTATACAAATTATACTTATTGGGGTATTAATTAAATAATCATTACTTTAATTACATTAGCAATATAATTAATATAGTATATTGAGTTAGAGAAAGATTTATTTTAAGGAATTGGCACATGCAATTGAAGCTGGCAAGCTTGAAGGTTGTTGAGCAGGCTGGCACCTTGCAAATTCAAGTAAGAGTTGAGGCTTGAGTCCAAAATCTTCCAGGCATGCCCTCAGGCCTGAAACACAGGTAGGGTCTCCCTGTTGCAGCCTTGAGGCAGAAGTCCTTCTTATTTGGGAAACCTCAGTCTTTGTTGTTAAAGCCTTTAAGTGATTGAATGAGACCCACCCACATTATGGAAGGTAATCTGCTTTCCTTAAAGTTGGATGATTGTAAATGTTAATCACACCTAAAAATACTTTTACAGAAACATCTAGACTAGTGTTTGAGCAAAGAACTGAACACCGTAGTCTAGCCAAGTTGACACATAAAATTAATCATCACAATATGTGAACAAGTTGTCATATTAACACAACCAACGAGAGTACTTAGGGAGAACCCTAAATTTCACACCTTTTCCAGATTCGAGTTGGCCAACTCATGCCATTGAATCTTTCAAGAAACCTCTCAGGCAGATGTTGGTGGCACTATGCCACCTGCTGACAGAGCCCGCCCTCCTTTCCCTCATTCCCATCATTCTTCTTCCATGTCACACTTCCAACTTCCTCATCACTCCTCACCTTCTTTCTTTGCCAAACTCTATTTCTGTTCTCTCTTTCCCTGTTTCTTTGTTCATCTTCTCCTTTTTTCTTTTCTTATCCCCACCTTAGGCTATTTTTTCCATTGATTTTTAGAGAGAGCAGAAGGGTGGGAGAGTGAGAGAGAGAGAGAGAAACATTGATGTGAGAGAGACACATCGATTACTTGCTGCAACAGGGGCCAGAGATCAAACCTGCAACCCAGGTATGTGTCCTTGACCAGGAATCGAACCAGCGACCCTTCCATGCACTGGCTGATGCTCTAACCACTGAGAACACCAGTCGGGCCTGTTCATCTCCTCTTAATCTGTCTTCTGTCTCTCTGACAGTTTGTGTTTTTTTTAATTCTTAGTCTCTTCTTCTTAACCTTTATTGATGGTCTCCAGCGCTTGCCTCTATACTTGATTCCCTTCCACTCTACCTGTTATTCTCCATGTAAGATGTCATTCATTTCCAAGGTTTCAAATGCCATCTGTACATTAATGGGCTTCAAATAATCTCTCTTTCTTACTGAAGTTCTGTTCCATCCTTCAGCTTCATATTATCCTTTCAATTATTTGCTATCTTTACCTTTGAGATCCCCAAATAAAGGGTAACTTCATTATTTGAGATAGAAAGCTTAGATATAGCTGCTTTTATCATCTTACCTGAACACACCAGCACTCTAGTCTTACAATAATAACCCCTCTTACACAAGATACACAAAAAAATTGAGTAGAATTGGCTACATTCTACAAATATAAGGCTCCCATTACCACGCATTTTAAAATATGTGGTTGTTGTGGTTTTTTTTAATTGATTTCAGAGAAAGGAAGGGAGAGGGAGAGAGAGATAGAAACATCAATGAGAGAGTCATTTGATTGGCTGCCTCCTGCACACCCCCTCAAGAGGACTGAGCCCACAACCTGGGCATGTACCCTGACTGGGAATCCAACCTGATCTCCTGGTTCATAGGTCAACGCTCAACCGCTGAGCCACACTGGCCAGGCCCACTACCACACATTTAAAGAACTGACAAAGATTACCAGTGATTGGAGTCAGACACAACTCACTGAGTCTTGCTAATGGAAGCAGAACCATCTATATGTCCATCAACCAATCTTTCAGTTCCACGGTCTATACAAGGAGAGGACTGGAAAGAAAAGAGAAGAAATCCTTGAAGTCATTGTCTTTGGAGTAGTGCAGTGTTTGTAATGACACATTTTACCTCTTTCCCAGTGAAGAAGGGAGGAAGATACCACCACCAACACTACTCAAAGCAACATGATGGAAGAGCCCCAAGAGCATCAATAATTAAGACTGGTGATGCCTAGAAGAAAAGATGAAAATTCTACAAAATCTGATTCCTGTGCTGCATCAGAGTGCAGTGTAGAGAAAAAGTTCTTAAGAGTACTTGACATATGTACTCTCTGCAAACAAACATAAAGACAAGTTTTGGTCCACTGTCTGAAAGTGAGTGGCCCTGGGAGCATCCTCTACTATCTAGTCTTAAAAGGACTGTGGTATAATGTACCTGGAAACAGTAGAAGAGTGGAGGAGGGTGTTATACTGTATTGTAGTTGTGCACAACCCTCCAAATGTATAGGAGAGAATCTAGAGTTTTCTTTCTCAGTCGATGTGAAGAAGCATAGAGAACAGAGATAAACTGTGGGGTTGTTCAAACAGCGGCCAGGTTAAGTGAGGTGATGCCACTCTTGAAAAGGACATTAGGGGAAAGACTGAGCTAAATGTTGACACAGCTGCCTTTCTTTTTAAAGGTATTCAGTAATAGAAGGGGCCCAGATAAAGTTGACTCACACACATACACGCCCACACATGAAATCCATATGCTATTACCATGGAGGCCATGACAAGAGAAAAGTGAGAACTACCCATTGTGCAATGGCGGGCACCTTCCAGCCAATGACAGGAGGCTACTTAGTAAGAAGATTCCAGCCTTGCATTTCCCCCTCATGTCTGTGTCCCCACAATAGAGCAAAGCCTTGAAAAATGGTGGGGTGGGGGTGGGGGAGGGAGCTACTTGAAAGCCAGATCATGACCTTCACTGTCTTTCTGATTCCAAGCAGCAGCCATGGTCAGATCTCAAGTCTGAAATGGGGAAAGGGTAGGCAACAAATAGAAGTTAAAGTCTGGTATTACTCAGTAACTTTAAAGTGGATTGGACTACTTTTAAACATTAAAAACTAATTTTTAATCATTACAAGAGACAATAATGTTATGAAATTTGCCGAAATATGTGTGGACTAGATCAAGATGGAAGGATGGTTGATAAATCAGGGTAGGAAAACGGTGACTGCAAATCAGTTACTGAAATCTTAGATCTTTACTCCTCATAGTGGCGGGTGAAGTCCAAGGCTTGAGATCCGAGCCAGTATCTCTGTCTCTGACACACTGATTCACCCCCTCACCCCCTTCCCTCTCCCTAGCACCTTCCCTTCTGATTTCCCAAATCTCAAACGAAAATGTTTTATTCTCTATTACTAGCCCCCCAAAAATATCACCCAAGACTGTGCTCTCAGACGTTAGTGATCTCCTGAATCATTCATTGTTCGTGTTGCCCCGGAGACCACAGGAATGAGGTTCCCACAAGTGGGACTGAAGAGAGAGGAACTCCCTCTTGGGAACCAGACTGGCCTCAGCCCCAACATGAGGCAGATGACAACCATGACTACTGCCATTCATAATACTGGGGTCTACAGAATGGAGGGTGCTTATCTGAGGCCTTGGAGACTATTTGAGGGTACATTACACAAATAGTTTCAAGCAAGTCATTTTGTAGATGCCCAAATTTCATGTATTTTCTTCTAGGTTGAGACAGGTTCATCTGGCCTGATGCTTCTCCTTTCTCATTTACTCATTCACTCATGTCCTCTTCTTTACCCACATCCATCCTGATTCTTACCAAAATA